AGCTGCCCGAGTGGCTGCGGGACCTGCCGCGGGAGGTGTGCCTGTGCACCAGCACCGTGCCCGGCCTGGCCTACGGCATCTGCGCGGCGCAGAGGATCCAGCAGGGCACCTGGATCGGGCCCTTCCAGGGCGTGCTGCTGGCGCCGGACAAGGTGCAGGCAGGCGCCGTGCGGAACACGCAGCACCTGTGGGAGGTAAGTGACTCCCCCCGCGCCGGCCGGGGAGCCTGCGCCGGGAAGCGGGCGGTGGATTTCCGCGGCCCCGGCCGGAGCACCGCCCGCGAGAAGCCGGGAGGGCCGCATCCCGCGCGAGGCCGGGGTTCGGACGCAGCCACCTTACCCTGCCTCGGCTCCAGCTGCCGTGGATTTGGCCATTGGTCTCTGGATTTTGAGTAAAAAGAGCAAACAGCCCAGGAGATGGCGCAGAGCATGTTAGGCGGCAGAGTTGGGCTGGGTGACCTGGAGGTCCCGGCCGAGCTCTGCCCAGGTCTCTGCGCGTGGGGAAGGAAGGTAAGTGGGAGTCGGCCTTACTGTTTTGGGTCAAAACAGCTTTGTGAATGCCCAGTGTGAGTGACCAAAACACATCTCACAACTTCCAGCGTGCCCAAGTGTTTCGCAAATTACATTGTGCATCAAAATCACGAATTTTTCTTCTTTCTTCACAAAGTGAAATCATACAGTTTCAACAAAATAGAAAATAAAAACACGGTAAAATTAGGAGCAAGTTTACATAACCCAACACCTGATGTTATTATTTAAAAATAACCTGTGTAAAAACTATTAACCTGAGAGTTCTCCCAGGACTTCTGTTTGATTATTGAGGTCTGCTCCTGAAGTGAAAGACACTCACCATTAGGTCATCCGCTCACTGATTTCAGCGACCCCGACTCTGGAGAGTTATTTATGAAACTCACGGTGCTAGAAGCCATGGCCTCCAGCAATGTGGACGTCTGGCTAGTTGTGGCCACGTGAAATAGTGAAGGGGTAATAGTAAGAGAAGAGGCTTCTCAGTTACCAGGGACCGAGGTGACATGGGCCTTAGGCTTCCAGTAATGGATTGTTTTTGCGAGTTTGTCCCTCACACTTTGCTCAGTGGCTTGTCAACATGATCAGCATTGTGAGCTGCCTCATATTCACTAAATAAAACTCATGGGACTCAATAATCTACTCAAGTTTTCGCTGAGGCCCCACTGTAGCAGACCCAGGAGATACGGTATTGGGCAAAGCAGACCAGGGTCCAGAACACTCAGGACACTGTCCGTGTTGTGTGCTGAGGCCTGTGTTACAGAATATCCTTTGGTGGGCCAGGACTGTAACCCCAACCCAGCAGGCCAGAGTGAGCACGTGGTCACCGGGGGTTCCTCGCATAGCGCTGCCCTGGAGCTTTGGGCCCTGGTTTCCAGGTTTCAGTTCTCACCTACACTATTAGAAAACTGAATTTTCAGTCTTTCAGGCTGGGAATCCTGAGTGAGAGTAAAAATGGGCATAGTTATATTATAAAAAATGAGCATGTTTATATTACCAAAGATGAGCTTTGTTTTAAAACAACAGAAATTTAGGTTCTAGAGTAGAGCAAGGAGAAGACAGCCAAGTGCGCAGATACCCGGATGTAGGCTGCACGTTACAGCTTTTGCTTAAGAGAGCTGACAAGTGGGATATAATCAGAGCGTCTCCTCTTGAAAGATTTCTTATCTGATCTTTGTTTCTAATTAGCTATAACCTCCAATGTAGTTAAAGTTTGTAACGTACTTCCAGGTGCTTTTCATAATTCAGGGGTGTTGCTGGGCACTATATCACTCAGTTGAAGGTCTGCCGATACTTTTCTGAGGAAATCAAGAAGCAGTTGTTCAGTGACACAGCTTTCATCTATGTGGAGACCTTGAGCTGAGCACTTTTACATTGCACTTTGATGCCTATTTTTAGAGTGTAGAGGACAAAACCTTAAATGTAAAAAAAATCCCATAGTTCTTTGTTTGTTATTTGTTCTAAGATGCTCTGAATAATTGGGACGTTGGTAGGAGGCCACTGCGTATATAGAATATTATAACACATGTTATCACTAAAGACTAGGGACCTTTCTTTTGTGCCTTCACTTGTATTCGATGAGGTTAAATTTCTGCTGTAGTAAAGAAGCTGGGGAATTTAGTTCCAGTTTTTCCCTGAAACTTACTAGATATAAAGTGAATTTCACCTGTTGTTTAGGGTTTGTTAATTAAATGCGTAGGGAAATACAGGGTTTTGTGTTGAAGAAAAGACTTCTGGGTGTATGCTTAGATGAGCTATAGGTTCCTGCTCCTAAACTCAGGACATAATTAATCTATTAATTTTTATCACCTGTAACAACAGTTAGATACTTTTGGGGGATTGATGGGAGTTTAAGTTTTAAAACTTTACCCATGCAAAATGTCTCCTGGGAGAGTACAAATAGTGTAATTAACTGGGGCCAGGTAATTTAGTGTCAGTGTTTGTTTACAAGATAAAATGCTTTTAAAATACATTTCAGATTTTTATTAGTATAATTAGTTTTAAGATACGAAATATAAGGTTAAAAAAAATTTAAGCATGACTGTTGCAATTAAGTTACATTTATAAGAGATTTTAAATGTTGGGTTGTTCATAAGTGTTAGTCTTCTCTTTGAAATCTAAATTCTATTGTGAGGCACTTTAACTATTATATTATTCATATGAGAAAAATCAGTAATTGGAATACACCATATGTCTGAAATGTTTGGCAATAATAATTTAATGACACAGGTAATAAACATCTATTTTAAAATATATTCTTTTGGGTATCTTCCAGAATATCAAGTTGACAGGAAGCAGATTTTCTTAAAAAATCAAAGTAGTTAAATCATGACTATTTTATTTTTAAAGTCAGCTGTAATTGTTTTTTTTCCTCAAAGTTTTCAAGATATCTGCTGATGAAGAAATGTCTATATTTAAGAGTTCAATACTCAGATTCTGATAGGTATTACCAGGGTTATTTATTTTTATTTTAGTACAATAAATGGATCGCTAATCTTTTCTTGTCACTGTTTCCAAGTAGATGATGGATTTTTGTTTTAGTTTACAGTTCATTGTTTTTAGGAAGGTTGTACTTTATTATACACATCAAAGCTTATTACAAAAACAATCAGATTCACTTTAGTTACAACTTTTGTTTAATCATTGAAAGCTCTGTTTTTGCTGTAGAAAAAGGACTTTTTAGCATATCAGTCATGTAGAATGTGGTTGGTTCATAAACATTTTTAAGTTAATATTTTCTTTGTGCATTTAGCTTTTTAATTTTTTGGTGGTAAGGCGCAAACCAAGGGCCTCCCACTTGCTAGACAGTGTTCTACCACTGAGCCGAATCCCCAGCCCTTCTTTGTGCATTTAAAGAAAGTTAAATATAGCCTATTACTTCAGTATATTTTAAATTTTTTAGATGTTTTTGCAAATCCCAAGAACTTTTCTTTTTATTCTTTTTCTTTCTTTTCTTTTTTTGTTTTTAGCAATAATACAAGGGATTTTTTGTAGTTTAAGGAAATTAGCAGGTTAAAAGTCAAATTAGTTATTTATTGGCCAGTTTATTTTGGTATTCAAATTTTAATGTGTTCTAAAAATTGTAAATTCAGATACTTTAAAACAAAACATTATAAAAGGCTTTAAATAGCCATTTATTTTGCTTATATACATTTGCTCCAACAAGACTTGGATGCATGATACATTGCTAGCTGTTTGGACATATTAGGAAAAAAAATCTGAACATTTTGGAAAGAAAATAGAATCTTTCCCAGCAGCTAGTTCTTATCGATGAGTGTGAGATGATTTTACCCTAATGTGTTTTCTAATAAAGAAGAGAGCACACACATCTGATTCCAACATGTATGAAAACAGTATCTCAATTATTAATGTGCCCTTTTCCTTTGAGATAAATTAATCTACTTGCACATGGCTTTCCCTTTCTGCTTAACATCAGAATTTAATATGAGTTGACCTGAGGAATGTACACAGTGTATACTTAAAACTCTACTGGAATAGAATACGGAAGTTTAAAATAAAGCTGCAATTTAAGATAGTCTAGAATTACTCAGGCTTTTCAACTAAAGTGTGATTTGACAAGAAATTTTAGCAAAGGTGACAAAATAAAATACACTTGTTTTCAACCTAAAGTAATTCTGCTAATTGAGATAATGTAGTGACTTGTTAGGATTACGGTCAAGGTACTAGAAGAGATTTGATTTTATAGAATCTGTCTTCTCTTTGCCTGAGTAAATTTGAGTGTGTCATTTTCATTTGAACTATGGAAACCTTCACTATTTTTCTTTAGAAAATCAAGGAGGATAACATAATATGGGCCTTTTTGTGGTCTGATTTTGTGCCATACTATTTTAGATTTAATAAGAGTTTTACTTTTAACTAAATGGGCCATTTTTCATCATTACCATTTAGCTTAGATCAAAATATGTTAATGAAAACTAATATTAAAATTCTATTACACATTGCTAAATGTTTTTATTTCAGAACCATCATAGGTAATTGGTGCTAGGAGGAAATGAATTTATTTCATATTTTAAATGTGTTACGTATGTTTTTATAAATGACCCAATTCCATATTTGCAGTACTCTACCCATTTGTTTATATTTAGATGTTGAGAAAATCATTTTAATCATTAGAAATAAAATCATTTAAAAATTGTTCCAGTGATAGTATTGTAACTATATACTTTATATTTTATTTTATAAGTTTTAGCTTATTTTGGCCTGATTCACTAAAACACCAAGGGATAGAATTATGTGGCTGTCACAGTTATATTGAAGTAAAAATTATGTTTCTTAGCAATTTATCATTTAATATACTAGCCTGTGTGTCAGGTTGGTTTTGAATATGTCAGTGTTGTGAAATTCAAATAATTTCTCCCTAAAAACCAAAGTAATGTTACGATATGTTTTAAATTATGCAGAGTAGCAGCTGGTGTATCTCTCTGGCTTTGCCTCATTTGATTTGAAGATGTCTTTCATAGTGCTGCCCGTTTGATAGAGTGTCAACATTTTGTAGTTTTACATAAACTGTAAAGCCATCTGCTGCCTCTTGGAATGGTTTCCAGCATTGTGTTAAAATTCAAAACTTAGTATATACTTTAAACTGGCTTTGAAAAGGCCCATTTACTCTCCTGATCCTCTTGGTTTATGTATCCCACTGCCTAGTACCA